CAGAACCATGGAAGGCGAGACCCCCGCACCTGTGCAGCTGAGCTCACGGGCTTACAGAATACTGGGAAGGCTGGTCTGAAACGGAAGCGCCGAGACCCCCCAAGGAAGAGACCTGGCGAAGCAAAGGATTTTCATGGCGCAGGCCGCAGAGCCGAGGACGAAGACCGAAGCTTGCATCTCGGCTCTCACAATCTCTAACTGTCTAGGTCCCGACCATGAGAGATGGTGTTGAGAATTCGGCTGTTCCCTGGTTCACTGTGGAAGCCATCTCCAAATTAGCTATCACATATGGAAACTGGAGACCAGAATTTTAGAAAAAGAGATTAAGGCATCTCACTTGGGGGGGTGGGGGGTGTCTTTTTATTTTTTCTTTTTCTTTTTCTTTTTTAAATCACTGCAACTGGAACAGTTTCTGATCTCAAAAGGCAAGCCTCTCTTCCCGTGTGATCTTTATAATTTACACTCTTTTCCGTGAGCTTTCTTACCTCCCTTTTTTATAACTCTCCACATTCTCTCTTCACACATATATCCATTATATTAGTAGTGGAATTGTTTTTATTTTTATTTTTATTTTTTTGCTTTGGTACTCGCACCCTCACACACACTCTCCCGAGAACCAGAAGTCGGTTGGGTGTTTATATAATGAAGAATTATGGGGCTGTTTGATCGAGGTGTTCAAATGCTTTTAACCACCGTTGGTGCTTTCGCTGCCTTCAGCCTGATGACCATAGCTGTGGGGACCGACTATTGGCTCTACTCCAGAGGGGTTTGCAAGACCAAAAGTGTCAGTGAGAATGAAACCAGCAAAAAGAACGAGGAAGTTATGACCCATTCTGGATTATGGAGAACCTGCTGCCTAGAAGGTATTTGATTTCCCATCGCCTCCCCACCTCCACCTCACCCCTCCCCTCCTCACTCCCCTTCCCCACCCTCCTCCAAATAAGTCCCCTTCACATTCCACCATTTTCTTACTTCACTCCTTCCACCACAGATCAAGGTTGGCTGGGTTAGTTTCAGAGGAAAGAAAAAAATCAATGAGCAAAAGCCATACTCTACTCACCTCCGCCACCCCCCTTCCCCCAAAACCTCCTCATTGGAATCATCTGTGGTGTGGTGAAAACAACTAGAGTCTGTTTTTAAAAGTCAGAGGTGCTCTGCCTGAGAATCATTAGGATTTGCCATTCTGTGTAGCACTGGGCATTGCCATCTACGAGAGGGGAAAATAATCGCTCCGCACGACGCTGTTCCTCTTTTCACAATGAAGAATCCCAAGATGTTCTTCCTTTTCCCCTCCTCTTCCTCTTACTCCCCAAAAGTCCCAGGCACACCATCATCATCTGCAAATCTCCTTATGGTTTAAACAAAAAATCTGTTGTTTCTAAGAATCCTTATTTGGTAAATCCTAATTATTCCAGGAGCTCCAGCTGAGTTCAGGAGCATTTCGTAATGTCTATGAGCCGCACATATCATTTGAGGCGGCCGGCTGCGTGCGTGTGTGTGTGTGTGTGTGTGTGTGTGTGTGTGTGTGTGTGTGTGTTTTAACATTTAGAAAGTCTAAAAATACATACGTCTCTCACAGGAAACAAGCCCAAGTTCTAATAAACAGTGACTCGCTTGCAGGTTAGGCTGAGAACCAGTTCACTTCCACACAGAGTGACATGTCTGTGAGCCAGAAGCGAGTAGAGTCAGCAATGCAGCCAGCTCGAGAATCAGACATTGTGCAGGCAGGCAGGGAGGGAGGGAGGCGAGGGCACGGGGAGGTTGAGGGGGGAGTGGGGGAGCAGTGGGGCGGGGGTGTCGGCTGTTTGCCTTGATCTTGCAGGGTCGTTGAGGCGTGTGTGCCTGTGCCGTGGGCAAAGGGCCTTTGCAGTGTGAGGCTGGGCGATCAGGGCATGGAAAGAGGCATGTGCTTCTGGGACACGTTAAGAAGCACAGAAAAAACTCCTGTGGGTCATACAAGCTGCATTTGGCAACAGACTTGAATACTAGGAACTGCATTCGGATGGCTATATATGTCTGTGTGTGCGAGCTCCAGCCGGCCCTAGGAAGATGTGCACAGGGAGATACCTATGTTTCCGTGTGGAAAGAAAGGCTTATGTGCTTTGCTTCTGCCGTGAACCAATACTGGAGGCCGTTTGAGGCAGCGTCGGGAAACTGGGACTGCAGGATTGTTTGTTAAGCTCAACATGGGATGGTGATGCAGGGAGTTGAGACCAGGAGGTGGGGGAGAAGAGAGGGAAACGGAGGGGTGAGGGAGAAATGGATGTGGCCCCTGGGGTCTAATCCAAACTGAGTGAAAGCTGCTTTTTGGGAAACAGTTACCTCGGGAGAAAGAGCACAGCTTCCATGCCCCCTCCCAACATTCTTGGTGCAAACGGTTGAGTGATGGCTGGACATGTTTTGAATAGCTAAGTGACTTCATTGAGCGATGGTCTATTTGACGCATACTGCATTTGGTGCCCTTTCTCAATCCAAACCGCTGCCGTTCACATATTCTGCAGAGGAGCCCTGAGCTGAATTCTCTATGCTCTTCCCCAGCCAGAGAATCAATATTGGGAAATTAATAGGGATGGTTTTAAACACATGCACACACCCCCCCCTCCTTGAAAGAATGAAAAGCCTTTCCTACAGCTAGTCATTAACAGCAGAAAGACTTCCATTTAATGAAACATTTATGACAGACTTTTATTCCAAAAGAGAAGAAAAGAAAAGTGAATGAGAACTGCTGTAGGGGAATGATCATCGTGGCAATTCGCCTTCCTTGGATTTTAGTTAGATGGATGTAGGAAGACAGGTAGCCAAGCGATTAGAGGGGAGCTGGAACATTGTTTTGAGGTAAATACACCCAGAAATGGGTGGATTGGTATAAATATACTTTTTAATCGGGGTTTTACTTGCAAATTCTTAATACTGTGATCTCTTAAACATTCTGTAATTCCCAGAAGGCAAACCGACTAGAGATGGCTTTGTATCAGTTGTGCCTTAAAAGGCTTAAGTATTTTCATGAAAATTCCATCTGTTTGGTGTCCACATCCCCCAGTGTGCTACCCACCCCTTTACCTTTCCTTCCAAACTGCACACCCTCTCTTCCCCTGAATCATCTGCGAAGGGTTAGAATTGCAACATTTCCCAGGGATTGTGTGATGCGCACAGGAGCTGTGGGTTTGGCTGCTGTCCCCAGTGGGGACCTCAATGGCCCAGCCCCGAGGACTTGCCCCCAGGCAGTGAGGGGAGGGCCGAAGCAGGCTGTTCTCCAGGTTGATATTGCCTTTCCACTTGTAGCCATGGCCCCAGCAGAAAGGGCCAGTGCTCAGGGCCCCATTTCAATCTGGTCTTGAATTTCCAAAGCCTTTGTCAACATGGGGTTTTGCAGGCCTGGGACCACCTTAGGAGGTTGGGCCTTAACCACTTAGGAAGTGATTTAGAGATATTAAGCCACTTATTTTCAAAGACTGCATCGATGTCCAGAGGTTGTAAGTTAGCTTATTTCTGAAAGTTGGCCTAGGCAGCTCCTAGGGAGTGTCGGCGTGCTCGCTTGTATGAGCATTCAGATTGGTGTCGGCCTTTGTGGTGATCAAGCTGTCAGTGTGGCATGCTGTCCCCACCTACATTTTTTGTGAAAAACTGAACTTTCCAAAAGATTTCCCCATCATCACTTTATGTGTGTTTTCTACCCATACCTGTGAACTTGTGAACAGATTTAAAATCGTCTCTCTAACATGCTGCTATGACTCCAGATGAAAAACAACCCTCTCCCTCTGATCTCTTTTGCTCTTTGGTTTTCATTAGGGCTTTTTGTCTCCTGAGATAATTATTTCTGTTCACCTCTTGATGAAAATAAGAATCAAAAAAATTCCTTGCCTTTGTTGTTGCTTTTGAAATTAACTAGTCTCCTGGTGAATGAGAAGAGACACGACCACCTGTTAGGGACAGACACAGGGGGAGGAGAGCGGGATCGCGAAAAGACCACTGTCCTCATTTTTCCCCTGCAGAGGAAATAACTGAAAAGATTCTGTGTGTGAACTTGAAAACCCTGGCAGACTGGCATCCTTAATGAGTTCGGAGGAGCAGCGGTGGGGGGACCATCTGCATTTGGATACAGGTAGATGGAGAGTGACAGAAGTTATTGAACTTTTCAAGAAAGCTGCATTAAGCGTCTCTGCATGGAGAGATGAATTGGCCCTTTCAGAGAAGAGTTCAATAAAATCTACAACTGGACACTAAACAGGCTCGTACTGAGTGAAGTGTCTCTAGGCCATGCCTGGTGGCTTGCTGCTCAGGATATTAACCTCTGTTGTCACCTAAAGGAAACATTGTCTCCAGGGGCGGCAAGAAATTCACTCTTGGTTTATCCTCTCCTGTGCCTTCCAGCTCCCCCAGAGGATTTCCAGCCCTGCAGAGGAGGAGCTGGCAGTGGGTACGATGTGACTGTAACAGAGGCAAACCCTCCATGGTCTCATTTCCTTCTCCCTCTCATTCACCTTCGCCTCACTGTGAGGCAGAGCAGAAGCCTTGCTCTCTATCCTGGTTGTCAGATTCCTTCTGCTGAATTTTTGCACTCCTCTTCCATCAATGGCTTCCCCTGTCTTCCCCTCCAGAGGCAAATTGCTCATGGGGGCTCTGCCAGCTGTTCTGCATCCTTGCTTTCTTTGAGCAAGAAGTGCCTCCGTTGTCCCAAACTGTCTTTTCCAAGTTCATGGCGGCACAGCCCTTGCTTGGCTTGAGAGGTGGTGGAGTGCCCCATGCTCGATCCAGCCATGACTCTCTTGCTCTGCAGAAGAAAAGGAGGCATCTTCTATCTTAGGAAAGACAACAGCCTTTTCCAGACACTCTTGCATTTCGGTGTGGATGGGCTGGGTATGGCAGGTACTAGTGGGCTGTCACATTGTGTGGGCATGGCTCCATAATTCCCAAGATACTTTGACTTTCTTGGTACACAGTAGGTATGTAAGAAATATTTACCAGTAGATCAATGTAGAAATTGTTAAAATTACTGAAATAAATGCAAACATTATAAGGACATGTGACAATCCAGCAATCGAGAGAGACAGAGAAGGAGAAGGCAAGAAGAAGAGAAAGTAGCGGGGAGAGAGAGAGAGAGAAGGGGTGAGGCATAATTTGTTTGTTCTTCCTGGAACTTCTTTTTCATAAGAATAATAATGAGTCATGAATCCATTATTATAAAATAAGCGAATTTAAAAGGAGTCAGTCATTGGGGATGCACAGCTCCTAATTGGCTAAACTGAAGGCAAATTATTCAAGGAAAGGTGAAGAAAATGATCGGTATATACAGCCTCTGTAGGGAAGAAACAAAATAACTAATTGATTTTCTTCCCTTTTCTGCTTTTAAAGTATGCCAAAGCTCAGCTGATCATAATATTTACCAGAATAGACACCACTGAGCTGAGAGCAGGCATCAAAATGGACCATCCCTGTTTAGCTTCCCCAGAATCTTCTACTCTCTGGCAAACCTCCCCTCTAATTCACAGGACCCTGACAACTTCCCCCAATGCTTGGGTTCCCATCAGCAGTTTTTCTGCAAAGCCACATCCAGCATTCCTAGCCATTCTCACCTTATTAGACAAGCCTGACTCCTCTACCTGTGAGTCCTAGCCAATTTACACCACACTCCCTGCCCTTGCTTCCCAGTCAGTTCATACCACACTCCCTACCCTTGCTTCCCAGGCAATTCAGACCACATTCCTTGTCCTTGCCTCCCAGTCATTTCAATCCCCTGCCTTTGCTTCCCAGTCAGTTCACACCACACTCCCTCCCCTTGCTTTCCAGCCAATTCACACCACACTCCCTGCCTTTGCTTCCCAGACAGTTCACACTATATTCCCTGCCCTTGCTTCCCTGCCAG